TAAAGAAGATTTTAGTCTCTGAATTTTTAAATATATTTTTGCTGAAGTAAAAACAATAGAAGGTTATGATTTGGAAATATTGTGATTATTATTATAAATTGTAACAATACTTCTAATTACCTCTATTTACTTTCATTATTTATTAAGAACAAAGTGCAGCTAATTCCTTTATGAACGTATTGCTCAAATATTGTCTTAATTGTTTCTTGTCAGTTCAGCCAAATTTCATCCACCGACTTTTAAATCATATTTTTGCTAAAACTAAATCATAAAAAATTAATACTAAATCATCTAATCATCTCTAACTATCATAATGGGGTATACCAATTCCATGACACATGACACGAGTGTCATCATTTAATGCTGTAAAAAATTTTATTCTTCTTCAAATCATTTTTTCGTGATGATGGTGGATTATTATTTTATATTCTAACTTTGCATTCATATTCTTTATTTGAGCAAATATCTTTATTATGTTCTGAGTCATTATATTTCTTCAATTGAAAACCATTGTATTAGTTTTTATTCCTGTTTAGCCGAACTATATTATTGTTACAAATATTAAATTTGTATTTGTATATCTCATTTTTACTAACCTTTTGACTCAACATTGCAATAATCATTGAGGTTATGATTTTTTTGTAGAATTTAATTATTATTTGATAAACATACATTTGATGAAAACATCTACAAATAACAAAATACGCGAATAGAATTTCCATTAAGGTCCAACTATATACTGAAAAAAAAATCATTATTATAATAATATATAAATTAAAATAATTTACACATGTTTTATATTTATACTTACCTTGATCGATTCCATTTTAAACATTTTAACTGCACACTGCATAACTAATACGTTCTACATTAATCATATAAAATATTAATCATATAAATAATGATTAAATAAATGCTTCAAAAGAATGAAATAATTTGCTTGTCAAAAGATCTTCAATATGAAGCGTCCATTAGAGTCATTAGTCATAGACAGAAAAGTAAAATATATAGAGTCACGAATAACTTTCAATTGTATTTTCGTGCATAGAGTCTCGCATACATAAAAGAGTAGAACACGTAACCTATCTTTTTGACAGTTTTGTGAAACAGCTGTACCACACCATCCATTTTGTATGTTAAACTTACAAAACACTGTAACTGAACGGTTACGTTATGAAGAAAACCATGCATTAACGTTTAAAGGTTACAATTAAACGTAACATTTACGTTTTATTAACGTAACCATAAAATACATAACAACGTTTCTTCTGTGCTACGTTACTTTAACTTTATGTGACGTTTGTGGTTTACTGGGTTGGAAAAAATTTAAACTTTGCTTCATATGAATAATTAATTAATTAAAAATGTGTGCTATTATGTGTTAAAGTTCATGACAATCTATATGTTGTATCTAAACCTAAACAATCATAAATATATTTATAATTTATCATAAATATATATGCAGATGTTATACTACAGATTTCTTTAATAATTTTGAGGGCTATCAAAACTATAATGAGATAAAGATTCAGGATTTAAATAAACGAGTAATTTTAATTTTAAAAATATTTAATTTTTGGGTTCAATGTATCTAAAATTTTCAAAGTTACCAAATATTTATATAAATATTTTATAGTTTATACTGCATATTTAATATTAAATATTTATAATATTAAGTGAAGTCTCCGTACTTAAAAGAAACATTAACGATTATTTCGTATTTCGGGAATATCTCCCTTATCAATAACTTTGAAAAATTCAAAGTAATAAAATTTTAATTATTTATATTATAAGTATAATTAGAAATTATAATTGGTAATACTTTGAGCTTTAGATTGAAGGCATGTTAAACGATTAACGGACATCCCATTCCATTCATATAAGTATAATTATACTAAATGAAAAATTCAATTATTCTTTTTTTAAAAAAAATTATATATATATATATATATATATATATATATATATATATATATAATTCAGATAGTCTTTTGACTGAATTACATCAATTTTATTCAACAGTAATTTATCAATTAAATAATTTTAAAAACTTTGGCAATAATATATAAATGATTTAAATTTATTTGAGTGAGAGTAACTCATAACATCGTTTTAGTTCAAAATTTATTTAAATAAATACTTCAAATCTTAATCATTAATAATTTCTAATAAAATGTATGTTTTTCAAAATCAAACTACTTTTTAAACAGATTTTAAAATAGTGTTGTTTCTACGATTTGTCAAAAGACTTGGATTTTACTCGAATGAATTCAATATTTACTAGAATATTATTATTAACTTATTATGTTATTACATGAATTCTGCGATATAGAAACAGCGATTGTGCTAAATAATTTTTGAGGGGGTATTCTAGTGTAGATTAATTAATTTTAAGTCATTTTATCACCGTTTTTATAATTTCTTCATCAGCGTTATAAGAGCACAGAAAAAAATTAAAACAAAAAAAGTTAATAATTTTAAAAATCAACATTGGTTGAAGTGGGAGGGAGGTCTCAAAAAGTTTACACGTGACCATGACCACAATTGCAACCCTCCTATAGTAATTCGATATAAAAAAGGATTATTAATTTAGAATGATGTCGCTAAGAGGGTGTCACGTGATCGACTTTTTAAGGGTTTTTGGACCAACCCTCTCCCTTGGTGATACGTGGTGATATTTAAAATTACCCCCTCCTCTCCCATCAAACCTCACGTGTAATTTTAGTTCCAGGAGAAAATAGTAAAATTTTTGATTTTGAAATAAAAACACGTGATATCTTACTATACCCCTCCCTCCCCCACGTGATATTTCGTGATTTTTTGTCAAATCCCTACTCCCCCTAATAACCTCACGTGATTAATGGACGTTAAAAAATAAATTTTTGATAAAATGGTGACTGTTTGCAAAAAAGGATAAATTTCTTACCACCTTTTTTGAGTTTCTCGATTTTTTCTAAAAATAATAGAATTAAAATTTGGATAATCGGCGTAGATTATCATGGTCAAATAGCTGTATCTCTAAAAATAATTTAAACTGTTAAAAATCCCCTCGTACACATTTAAATAGTTAAGTTTTCAAAATATGAAAAAAAACAGAAAAACTATTTTTTGAATTTCTACACTAGGGGGCGTCCATTAATCACTTGAGCGAGGTTTTAAGGACTTTTTGACTCCCCCTCCCTCTTGGTGATATTCAGAATTACCCACCCTCCCCCACAAATCATCACGTGTATTTTTAGTTACGTGATAGAACTGTAATTTTTTAATTTTTTTTTAAATGTTTGATTTTTTTAAAAAAAATTCTTACTATACCCTTCCCTCCCCTACGTGATATTTTGTGATTTTTTGTCAAACCCCCCTCCCCCTAAAAACCTCACGTGAATAATGGACGCGCCCCTAGAATATCCCCTTAAAGCGTCCTTTGAATAAGCCTAAATAAGACTAACTTCTAATGCACGTGTAACAATATGACTACTTATAACAAATTTTGCAATTGCGTTGGTATATATATATATATATATATATATATATATATATATATATATATTAAACAATAAATCTGATTTAAATCACTATCTCATTTTAAATATTCTAAAAGCGATTGCATGCAACCAACGGGCAGACAGACAACACAACGCGGTTGCAATAAATTTTTGTACTTTTCCTTCACGACAGGAATTATAAAATGTTAAATTACTTTCAAATTTAAGAATGTATAAAAATCGTTTTAGGTGATTTAATAAAAAAAATCAACGAATTATGTGAATGAATGGCGCACGTTTGCGCTACTATTCATATGACCGCGTAAACGCGACGACGAACCGTGTATTATACAAGACCCCCGTTGCTACAACCCTGTCGTGACATTTTAGGGTAGCGTGAGTTGAGAGTGTAAGCTGTCACATAATTAACATGGCTGCCATTGGCATAAATGTTTTATTAAATGTGATAATTTGTGTAATTTTTAGTGAAAGTATTTGCCATCAATTTTACTCATAATCCAATGTTATTTGTCTTGTGCTACAAAACGGTGCGTTCAATAAGTGAATAGTTATAGCTGAAATATCTAAATTGAACCGCAACTGGTGTAAATTTTACCGCAGTACCATATATTACAACCCCCAAGTGATTTCTAGAGCAAAATCTTAATAAAATATCTTCGTAAATTATCTAATAGTACTGAGTGTTTGGATAACATGATTTTTATTATTTTTGTTATTAGAAAAAATATATAGCAATTTTGCTTCATTGATTGGTTATTTGCTCTTTCCACTTTACATGTCAACATAACCTACTTTTGCCCTGGATTCTTGTTAGAATCTACATCTTGTAGTCACGGGGGTAGAAATTTGTTAAAATTTTAATTTGTAATGTGTTATTTATTAACGATGTAGACAGAAATCATTTGAATTACATATATTACACAAAAATTAAAGGCCTGTAAATAATTGCAAACGTGAGATAACGATAATTGATAAAATTAATAACTATTTAGACGTACAAATTATTGGAAAATTGAAGACACATTGTTATTACTACATATGTGATTTGAAAATAATGTGTGTTTATACAATTTAATTCAATAGATTTAATTTAGTATATTTAATTTTTAAATTAATTATGTACCATATTGCTCTTGTCCTCATCTGAATTAATTATTACAGAAAGCGTGCTTAATTGCAAGATGTCATAACGATATCGGTATCAGACGATGGATTAAAACCTTTTGTCCATCCGTGCCATGCAGAAACCTCCTCGCACCAGTATAAACAAAAACATCAGACCAATATCAAACGCAGAACAAAACAAAAATAGTACGCCCACTACTCCAGTAACGCCTACTGTAAACACTTCCGTCAACCCAAACAATTCTACCGAAAATAACATAGCACCAGGAAATTCTGCAGTTTATGTGTTAAGTAACGGAGCCTGCGCCAGCGCCGATAAAGATCATCCAGATGCCCTCGAATTGTTCGATCCGGTTCCTAAGAATAATACTAATGATATATCTAGATATAGCTCCGGTTTCAATGATTCGTCAGATAAATTTGATTGCCAATGGGCTCTGAATTCAACTCAACAAATTAAAACCGCTAATATTAAAACGTCTACATCGCAGCAATCCAATAATCCATCCGAAAGCAGTAAATTTACATATTCTAGCAATTTGGACACATCATCCAACCCTGGAAGATCATCAATAGCACAGGAAACTTCTTCATCTAACGTAGCGTGCTATAATAATCCAAACAGCATTGGATACTCAAGCATTTTGACCAGTAATTTTGGCCAGTCCTCTCTTGCTTCAAATCCAAGAACATTTGAGGAATTTCGAAGATCTAGCGTATCAGTCGGTTATGTTTCCGTATCGGATCTGTGTGGGGCAGATGAAATAGAATTTCTTTTGGACGATATAAGAGATCTGGTAGAACCAGCTAAGTGCAAACCTGAGGACTTCCAAGTAAGTAGTAAATTCATATAATACTTATTTTATTTTACAATATTATGCAAGAGGTCTTGATAAATTCGCTGAGAAAGGCTGATCAGTTTGGAACCGTTTATTCAGTTCACGAATGTAAATTCTTATAAAACACAGACTCAAATCGCTAACAAATATTATTTTATTATTATACTTTTATTTATTCGTTTCTTATTTATTTGCAGGATTTTGAGATAGCCGGTAGCAGAACAGACGCGGTGAGCGTCGAGTTGTCCTTATTGGAGTCCCCATTGGGGGCCCCCATTTCCGTTCACTCATGGGATTCCCATGCACACTACAGGCAGTGTGCGCCACCCCGTATTTTGTCGCCATTGCACGGTGTTCCTATTTATTGCGATAAGAGGAAATTCAAAAGTCCAGCGGTTATATTCAAAATATTATTATTTGTAAGTCAATGAATGTGTGTGTGAATTATCGCTTAAAGCTTTTTATTCATGTGATATTTTGATGATTGTTTTGTTTACGTTATATGCAGATAACGTCCCTATCATGTCTGGTGACTTTATGTTCATCAGGAACCGTTCAGGTCGGTTTGTTCCTACTGCCATTGCTGGGAAGAATACGTCTCATGATGTTTATAACATTATTTTCGATGTTGGTTACAGGATTCATACTTTTTCTTGACATCACGCATATCATAATACTCTTCCCATTTAATTGGAATAAAATTGTAAGTATAAAATTTATTGGCTTGTATGTTTAAATATGTATATGTTTATAGAATTATTGTTTGTTTTCAGAATACCTGGCTTTATCTGTCTATAGGAATTTTGTTTATTATCGGATCGTCATTTCTAGTTCATACAGTATTTTTTGCGACAGACTTTGCATGGGTGCCTAAGCATTCTAAGCATCATATATTTGCAACAGCGGTGAGAAAAGCTTAAATTTTTCAATTTATTTAAATATTGAGTTCATGCTGTAGTCTAATTTATTATTAGACATTATTTTATAATATTCTTTTAACTTAATTTTAAATTGATTCTCTTCTTTGGTCATCTTTTTTTATTTCAGTATTTATTTATATTTTGAATTTTTTTGAAAATTTCGAACTTTTTTTCGAAGCAATCACGCTTCGTTACGTCCTTGAGTGAATATCGAAGCGCGTAAGCGCCGCGCTGCGGTCTAACGCTTATACATTGGTACGGAACGCATAGAAATCTAAACAAAATTTGTACTTATTACTAAAATCTTTATCTTAATCTTTATAAAATCTGATCTTTATAAAATATCTGAAAATTCGATGCGCGTATGACTAATAATCATTTTTGTCCGCCAAATGGCTTTTTTTTTCCTTTTTTTAATGGATCTCCAAAACCGCTTGACCTGCCTTTCTAACAATTTAATCAGTTTTGTTAAAAAGTTAAAAAATAATTATTGTTAAACAAAAGTTTGAGATATATTTTTAATCAGATAATTACACAAATTGAAATAGACAAAAAATGCACAAGTTAAAATAAACAAACTCTTCGGTAAAAAAAAGTTCGATCTTCAGATATTAGTAAAACACTGAAATTAAATAATTATCCCGAAGAAGTTTCTTTTTTGCCAAATCATTCGATTAGCTAATTTACATCTTTATACAGAGTTCTTTTTTTAAATTCTACAATTAATTACGAAGAAACGACGCGGTCGATTTTTACGAAAAACTTATAGCCAACTGACAACTTAAGAGTTTTTGAATGTTCAAAATCGGTTCAGAAATGTCGAAATGTCGGATTATTTGAATCTTTGGATCAACCGATTTAAATGATTAAAAGAACATTCGATTCCTGTTGATAAATTGGCAAAAGCAGGCCCAGCGGTTTCGGAGATGCAAAAACAATTAAAAAGTTATCAATCAATTTGGTGATGCAGTTTTTGAAAGAACTCATCATCCGATTAGGATGTTTAAAAAATATATCGACGGTGTAAAACAATGATTAGTTTCAAGTTAACAGTATTTATAATATTTATTTAAAAAAAATGTAAACCATTGTCATTTCTCATTGATCAATTTTGATGGATCATTGATTAATTTTATTTCTCGAATATTTAGTTACTGTTTGGATTCGATAATATAACTACACGTTTGTATTCCTAAATGGAATTATGATTTATGTTCACATAAGAAACACACAAATATAAACAACCAGAAAATTAGCCATCTTGTGTGAAGTTCTTTAGATTTAATATTATAGTAATGACAGACGATATTACATTCCATAAGAGATAAGAGAGTAAAACGAAAGTGCTTGCAAACCACTAATCATCTTCTTTACTCGTACATCAGCATAATAAAAAAAAACTAAATAAAAATAAAAACTAAACTTTAAATAATAAAAAAAAATTCGGGGCTTCTTGCGAGGCCCAATGAAGCGCAAAGCCGTCGGCGGCCGTGATCATGTTTTTCCTTATTTAAAGTTATCTATCTATCTTTTATTATTGTCTATCTATTATTAGTTATATATCTATCTTTTTTATTCTAGATGGTAGGTTACTTGTGTTCATTAGAGGCATTTTAGTGACGCAACTCACCCGTTGCATGTCGCCTTACACAGCAGTTCCCGAAGATATAAGCGAACTTTGTTTGAACGATGGAAACGCGGACGTTCAAAATAATACCACCTCACCGCCAGTTAGACCCGTTTGCTACCAACATCACAGTTTTCAGGTATAAATCTCACTATTATCTCATATTGTAAACAAAAAACATTGGCCAACGAATCTTAATTGATTTGTATTGCAAGAATTCCTCCACTCGGCTATTAATTTAATAAATTTATTAAATTATGTTAGAAATTTGAAAAAAAAAAAAAACAGAATTAGAATTATTTCTTCAGTTTTCAATATCCTGCAGGTGATGGATTCCGTGTTATTATTACACTTATGTGTACAGTTCACATAATATATGCCTGGTAAAAATATTTACTTATTTCTTAGTTGCTCTATTTATTTCATGATGGTTTTCAAAGAAATTGATTCTTCAAACAATAATTCTACGTAATTGATTTCGTCACAGGATTCAACATTTCTAAATTTACTGTACAAATTGATACAACTTTATTTCATTTCGTAACGTTCCATATCACAGCAAAACTTTATTAACTTCCCGAAGAAGAATTCCCGATTTCAAAAATGCAAAAGCCATTCCATGTATCTCGATAAGGACTAGCGTATATCAAGTTTGCGCGACGATCAGCCAAGCCGTTTCCTTGAAAATCGCGCAGAAAAGTGAAAGATGTTTCGTCCACGTTTTAGCCCGCAATTCTGAATCGATTAGAAAGATAAATTCGAAAGATATTGGTTGGGAATCGTGCTGATTAGTTTTTGGTAAAGATCGGCTGGGCCGTTTTCTTGTAATAAAGTGTTAAAAAAAATTTCGATGATTTTTATGATTTTTTTTTGACGGTAGATACCATAGTCTTATAGATCATACTAAAATATTACGGCCCTACGACAAGTCGTTTAATTTTAAAAATTCTTCAAAGTTTGCAAAAATTAGTATCGTTTTTTTGCATTTGTCAAAATTAGACCTTTCATCGACGTTTGCTCAAAAACGCCTGAACCGATTTCAGAAATTTAAAATCCATTTGATGTATCTCAATGAGGATTATCCTTTCTCAGTTTTGTGCGACGATCGGCCGAGCCGTTTCTTTGTAATTTGGAAAAAAGTGTTAAACTTTTCGACCACATTTAAGCTCATACTATCGAATCTATTTTAAAAAATCAAAAACTTTTCGAAAGATATTAGTTGGGATGTATACTTGATTAGTTTTAGGTGAAAATCTACCGAGCCGTTTTCTTGTAATTAACTGTTGAAAAAAATTTAAGTCGATTTTTATGGAAGTTTGATTTCATGGTCTTATAAAACTTACTAAAATATTACGTCCTTACAAGTAGTTAATTTTAGGAAACCATTCAAAGTTTCAGTTTGGAAAATGAGTACTTTTTTTGACGTTGTTAAAATTAAAATTGACGAATTTACTTGGTATAACGATAGTAGTACTTGGTCTTAATGCACATACTAAACCATTAAAGTCCGTGATATGTGGAAAACTGATTCAATTTTAAAAAATATTGATTGTGAAAATTTGCTTTTAGAAAATACCCGAGTATTCGTCGTTTTCTATTATGTGTAATTAAATCCATCAGAATACTTTTAATCACTATTAATTAAATATTTTTTAAGTTTCATGTAACTTGCCTCAAGGCAAAATACCAATACCAAATAGTTTTACATGAGTTGAGGTAGTTCTTAAAAATGTTGAAATAAAAGATTAAAATTTGTAAAGACGTTCATTTGTCACAATTAAAAAGTATTTTTAATACTATTTCTATTTTTCAGCCTCCCAGAACCTCATTTTCTTCAAATTACAACCATACATCGCGTTCCATTCCTGCCCACATGCGTTCGAATAGTCGAATACCGCACAGTTCAAGTTATCAAGGTTGTGAGTATCAGCCTGTCGCCTCCACCTCCCGGAATTGCCCAAAATGGCTCCCGGTGAGCAGGGAGGAGCCGGAACCCACACCAGGGCCATCTAATCACGTGCGTGACGAAACCACCGCCTCATAACATACGATAGAATCACAGCGGTAAAATCATATTTATTAATATTTTATTTTGTTTTTGACAAACATTCCGCTCGTATTGGTTCTGTGATAGTAATGAACTCTATCAGTTAAAAAATATGCATGCGTTGAAAATAATTTAATATAGTTACTGATAGGGAATGCAATACCGATAGAAAATTTCAATACCGGTATTTCGGTAATTTTTCATTTTAAAACCGGAATACCGGTAAATTACCGGTATTTTTATTATCTTCAATAAACGTAAACAAAATTGAAAGTTACTAGTACAATTATAAAAAAATGTATATACAACTACAACTATATTCAACTAAACAATAAAATAAAACAATAAATTTATTTTTTTAAATAATAATTTAACAAAAGTGTATGCAATTTACTTAATTCATTATCACTATCAAGTATATTGAGTACTTTTCACCAAAAACAAACTTATGAGTAAGAAAGACCAAAAACTCATAAAAGATCATATTACATTATTATAATAAACTGTATTGTCTGGATCCGATGTGTTAAATTAGCATAATCTCAAAATATTTAAAAAAATAATTTTTCTACACTAATTTAAGATTGGATACTTTGTCGAGATAAATAATAAGTTACTATAATTGTTGAGTATTGTTATTTAAACAATGTGATGCTTCTATAGTATTTTCAAACTTCGAAACGTTTTCGAAAAATAATATTTTATAATTGTAATAAGAAGCAAAAATATTTAGTAATTATCATAATTATTATGTATAAAGTTAGAAAAAATAAAGATTACGCAGTATGATATAAAATATTTTGGCGCAAATATCACTTAAAAAACCGTTACATTTTTACAAAAGATGAAACAAACAGAATTATCTATCAGTCCTATTCTATTTATTGTAACACGATATGAAGCCCTTTGGAAAGCAATAAATATTCAGATTAATGACGAGTTGAGATAATATTTGACATTTGTTTATCTAATAGAAGCACGTGAAGATATAGCTGTTAATGCGATTATGGAATTTAAAGATAAATTTGTTCCGAGAGAAATTTAAATATTAAGGGTATTATGTATCAAATAGCGCTTATGTAAAATTACCGAAAATACCGGTATTTTTGGAATAAATACCGGTAAAAAAACCGCCGAAAAATCTGGCGGTTTACCGGTAATTCGGTATACCGGTATTGCATTCCCTAGTTAGACTGCCTACATTGTACATATCGCCTAAAGAATATTTTACATATTATGGGAAGTCTTGATTTTTAGATATATGTTTTTGGTATTCAATTCAATCAAGGCAAGTATCAAAATCAAGAAGCGTTATAATTGTTTGAAGGTATTTGATGAACTTGATTAGTTTTCCTAATTAAAACTTTCTTATTCGAAATATTTTTTATAGCTATCGCAGTATCAATTTGAAGCGAAAGTATTGTAGGATTTGATTATTAATTCCGTATTTTTATGTATTATTGAGATCATTAGGTCAGAAATAGCTTCGAGTGGTGCATAATTCTCAAAAAATATTATTGGATAATATATAAATATGATAGAACAAATTATAGATTATAATGCTGTGATGCATACATTTGTTTATTATTTGAACAGATTTGATGCATTTAAAGCAATTATAATGAATAGTCACCACTCTTATGCTTCTTTTTCAATAACACTATATTTTTTGTATATTCCTATTTATAATGGAATTATATATTCTTTAAAATGTCAAACGTTTTCTAGTCTCAGATCGAATGTAATTAGCACAAAATATTTTTAATAGAGCTATACATTTATTTAAAATAAATACAAAATTGTCTCTTCGATTTGCATAATCTATATCGTGTGAACAATATGTATATAAAATTATTATATAAAGTATATTTTAATATATTTATAGACATTCGGAATATGTCTATCAAAACAAATGTAGTAATTTGTGAGTTAATTAATTACGTGACTAATTTATTATTTATTGAAAGTAGCTATCGAATTAGTAAATAAATTTAATAAAATGTGTCCAGTATTTTTATGAGGGGCAGTTTATTGTAGAACCAAAATAGACAATGTAAACACTGTTGATTTATTCTAACTACAATGTCTTATAAAAAATATGAAATTGTCCCAAAGAAATCTATAATTTATCCGAGGTATCTATAAATTTCATCATTAAGTGGCTACAAAATTAAATAAACGCCTTCAAAGTATTATTGTTAATTTGTAGCTTGTGCCAAATCAAGGCAATCGGATTGATAGACCATACTGTAGTTTTGTATTTAGTGATAAGAGCACTTAACACAACTAGTCAGCCAACTCAAATGTGTTCAAATATAAATTAATTAAGACATAGAAGTTTATATTAAGATTTAATTACATGGTTAATTTTATTAAAATTAAATAAGTACGAACATGAATACTTATGTCTCGAATAATCTTCATTATCATCTGTTTCAAATAAAAATGGGTTATATTAGATTTATTAGGGTAGAAAGTTTAATTAGTAGCACATTCTTATGCAGGTTTTATTCAAGACCTACTTTTCTTCTACACCGCTGCATTTTTTACTATAACTATTTTAACATAAAATTATTAAACTCTTCTACGTCATTTTCTGATCAAAAGTTTTTTCTAGAATCATATTCAGAATTTTAATTTTACTTTTGATTGTGTGCAATATTTTATCACAATTGTGATTTGTGTTTACAAAAGAAGTTAAAATGCTTTAACGCAAAAATAATTTTTTATTATCAGAGTAAACGAATAAAAAAAATAGTTGTCCATTATTAATTACTTCAAAAATTTTTATTCTTTGTAATTAAATGAACTTAAATGTGATGTGATACTATTTTACATTATGGTAAATGCTGATATAAATTCACTTATCCAAATTAAATGATTAAAATTATTAAGTTTTGCTGGTATTTTTATTTTACTTATTAAAAATGTGATGAATTCAAA